AAAAAAAAAAAAAATGGGTAAATATAGTCTAGAAGAGGCTGAACAAAAAGAAATAATGGAAAGAACTTTCTTTCCTGTTATCAGAATACACTGTAAGACTTCACCTTTTAAAATGATACGTTAGCTCTGTAAGAAGAGAAAGAAAATATAATTCCATGGAACAGACTATGTGGTTCAGAAATAGACTTGTGTATGTGAATAATTGTTTGGGAAAAAAGAATAATTCAATAAATTAAATAATTGACTATTTAGTATCTGTTTAGGAATAGGGTAAATTGCTGTATCATATAGTACACAGATATTACAGTTAAACTATTTAGCGGAAACCACAAAAATCCCGTCTCGGGATTTTTTGTTTTAAGATTTGGTGGGAAAAACCTTTCTAAACATAGTAAAAGAGCAGAAACATGAAGGAAAAAATGAGATATTTAGCTATACCCATACAAACTTAAAACTTGTATATATTAAAAATCATAAAATATGAAATGAAGTAAAAAATAGAGAACAAATGTTTGTAGCATACATGACAAATATGAATGCCAATGGTCTGTAAACAGCAAAAGAAAACACAGGAAACTCATAAAAGGAGAAACGCAAGTGTCCAACAAAGCTTGTGCCTTAACAGTTATTCTGACTCCTGATCATATTTATACATGAGCATTATGAATTTTGAGATTAAAAAAAATCAAGAAATGTAAAGTCTGTGCGGAGGGAAACCAGTGAAGCCCTCCCAGCAACACTGATAGGCCGAGCAAATTGAAACTTACACAGGCGAAGCAGAAAGGACGCTGTTGACTGTGTTTCTTGGAAGTAAAAATAATGGACAATAACACAGTCTTTCTCAAAACTTTCATAGTGACTTGAGATGTAAAATTTAAAAACAAGAAAAACACACCTTGATTTCTGTGTTCCTTTCTAAAGGCACTTAAGATTATCTGGGGATGTTGAATCTTCTGCACTATATGAAACTATGCCAATAGACTTCGGGTTCCATGAGTACACGAAACCTTAGATATGCAAGGAGAAGTTCACTCTTGGATACCCAACAGTATATCCAACAGTTGGGCCAGTGCTTAGCACACAATAGGTACTTAGTAAATACTTAATGAATAAGTAAATGGAAAC